TGTAATGGTATATCAATGGGACAATGGAATTATAAATGAATCTGCCATAATAAATAGAACAAATTGTTGTCAAAAACATTCAAAATTCTCAAAATAATAATAGTGAGAGTATTCTAACAATAGTATTAAAAAATTTAAAATCTTTGATGGATTTCCCGAATTGTGGTTAACGCATAGCATCGCGTGTGATCCTTGTTTTGTACAAAATGAAGATTAAATTAAATCGAATTCATTAATTCTTATACACATATATTGCTAAGAGTTAATACAAATAGTCGATCAAATCAATGGAGAAGTTTATAAAAATTCATTACAGTATTACTAATATTAAAGTTGTGTTCAGAGCAATGAATCAGACATTACTCAGCATTTGTCCAACATTTTTGTGTTTTAATCTCAATAATTTTTAATACAAATAATTAGAAGTTACAGACATAAGGAACTCTATTTTACTTTTTACAGATTTGATCTAGCTCGTTTCGTTTAAGAGATATGGCCGATATAGATTGGTCAATACTTATTAACGAGGTAAATAATTTTGTATATAATATTCAAATAATTACATTCTCTATTAAACGTCTTGTTTAAACAGCTTAATTATATCGAAACGTTAGTATAACAAGGTTCACACGCGATGTTATGCGTTTACCACAATTCGGGTAATGCTCAAAGAATAGATTAGCATTATATACAGATTTAATACGAGTTCATAAAATTACCATTGCCCATGTTATTCCTATGCCATAGACTTAGCATTACCCATAGACTTAGCATTGCCCATTTTATCCCTATGCCATAGACTTAGCATTACTCATGTAATTCCTATGCCATAGACTTAGCATTATCCATGTTAAAGTATAGCCATAGAATTAAGCTGTAATCCCATGTTAATTCCCCATAGACTCAAGAATCCCATGTTAAAGTATAGCCATAGACTTAAGCTGGAATCCCATGTTAAATCACATAGAGCGGGGGCAAAGGGGGAGGGGGAGGAAGGCCGAACGATCCTATAAACCACATTATTCATACTGAATTGTGGTTAAAAAAGATTGAATGCTTACCTGATTCACCCATACATTTGTTGTCATGATTTGATTCTTGAGATTCTGTTGACAAATAAACCAGTTTTGAACAATAATTGACAAGTTATTGATTAATGGCATCACTACTGACCACATCTATGAGTTGCGATAATTTCAGTCCCATCTTAACAGTCAGTCGATCACTAATTATATAAATATATTTTTAATATTTATTCAAATTGTTTATAAAAACAAATTTCTTACCTATTGTTAAAAACCGGACGAATCAGTCGATTGTAGCTAAAATATAATTGTGTCATTTTTATTAGTAGAATGTCAATTATTTAATTTTACTAAACTCACCTTGATAATAAATCGTCATATAGCCTCTTCGCATCTGAAAATATAGAAATATAGTTAACAATAAATATTTTAAAAATATAAACAGACCTGGATTGCAATGAATTGCTTTCACATTCAAAACTGTTATAAACATCAATGACTTAAACCAAAACATTTTCACTTATTTTTAAAGCTGGAAATTATTACAAGATTTAATCCGATTGTAAACACAATTTATATTAATTATAAAACTGCTTATAATTGTAATTATCTTAAATAAAAATATTTTTGATTCAATCGTTTGCGCAAAATCTTGATATTTTTCAGAGCAAAGAGAAAGACAGTGAGAGACTGAGCGATGAATCCTTAGCATCCCTTTCCACTCAATCCTCTCTCAGATTTTGCGCAAACCATTGAATTGAGAATATTTTTATTAAAGAATATTACAATTTTAAGCATTTCTTAAATTACAAACATTTAAATAGTGTTTACAATCGGATTAAAAGTTATAATAATTATTAGTTTTGGAAATAAGTGAAAATGTTTTGGTTTAAGTCATTTGTGTTTATAATAGCTTTAAATATGAAAGCAATTCATTGTAACCCAGGTCTGTTTATACTCTTTTATTAGTTGTTTATTAATTATATTATATATTTACAGATGCAAAACGATTATACGACGATTTATTATCAAGGTGAGTTATTACCCCTCTTTAATTTTATAAAATATATATCTTAATTATTTTGTAAAAATGCAATAATAAAATTTAAATTGCATTTCAGTTACAATCGACTGATTCGTCCGGTCTTTAACAACAGGTAAGGAATTTGTTTTTATAAATTGTTTTAATAAATAATAATCAGTTATTTGTATTCAATATTAACGATATTAGTGATCGACTGACTGTTAAGATGGGACTGAAATTATCGCAACTCATAGATGTGGTCAGTAGTGATGCTATTAATGAATAACTTGTCAATTATTGTTCAAAATTGGTTTATTTGTCAACAGAATCTCAAGAATCAAATCATGACAACAAACATGTGGGTGAATCAGGTAAGCGTTCAATCTATTGTTTTGTTTTGTATTATTTTAAACTGATTTATATAATCATTTTGCTCACAACACAGTCACGTTATATTATTACATAAATATGAAATTTTTATTGCTATTAATAATAACGTTAATTATTATGTATTAAATCTTGTAATTGCTGTTAAGAAATAATAGAGTAGTAGATAAAAACATTCTAGCTATTAATTTTTAACACTTCTTAAGTGAACGTACATTTTTAAAAATTTATCTTTGAATTTTATCATACTGTATAATATTATGGTAAATTAAAACTTAACAAGGTTCACACAGCGATGTTATACGTTAACCACAATTCGGGTATTACTCAAAGAATAGATTAGCAATATCTAAATATTTAATATTGGATATATTTAATATATCCTATTAAAGACTTATCCATTAATTTAGCATTGCCCATGTTGAGCTTATGTCGTATAAAATAATTATGTTTATAATTAATTAGAATGTCAATGATATAAGTTACAATATAGATTGTAGATTAGTTGACAATAATATAATTAAACTAATATAATTGACTGATAATTGAATGGATGAATATAAATATGAAATGTCAGAAACATTTGTAAATGAGTGCACAAATTACAAAATTATTATTCTGACAAAAGTATGAAAATTGCACTTCTGGTACAGAATATACATAATATGTATTATATAGTGTTGAGTTTCTCTGTTAATTAAATAACAATTGTTATGAATTTTGTGAATACTATTGTAAAAATGATTGACTCATTAAATATTATTCTCGAGTATCAATAAACAAAAACTTTATTACAAAGAAATATTAAATATTGTATAACAACAGGTATTTGTTAATATTATATTTAATCACAATTCATATATGAGGTGGGGAAAACCAAAAGCTTACAAACTTTTGCATATTATCTCTATGGATAATAGGTAGTGATAACACAAAATTTACTTGGTCAATTTTAACAAATTATATACCAAAATTCTTATAATATAAAGATAATAATAATAATATAATAATAATTTGTTAAAATTGATCAAGTAAATTTTGAGTTATTACTACCTATCACGTTCCATAAAGATAATATGCAAAAGTTTGTGAGCTTTTGGTTTTCCCAAACTCATATGAAAAATGTGGTTTATAGTATCGAACGGCTACCCCCTCCTGGAAAAATACTTATACATAGGTTTCTATGGGATTACAGCTTGAGTCTATGACATAGGTTTATGACAATGTTAAATCTATGGACACAATTAAGTCTATAAGACTATTGCTAATCATATGGCTAATGCTAAATATGTAGGACTCATATTAAATGTGTACATAATGCTAATTTATTGTTTGAGAATAATCCCAATTGTACTGTAGTTAGTGTATAGCATGACTGTGTGTGAGTTGTTTTTATTGTTTAGTTTATCGCTAATATTGTTAAATATTAATTTAGATTAAATATGTGGCGGAACTAGATTTTAAATCAATTAAACAAAACAAATACTATTTTCATTATATTAAATGAGAATTTCTATGTTATAAGTTCTATAATTAAAGGCTAACTACTTATACTGTATTAATCCAAAAATTAAAAAAATGCTTTATAACTTATTTAATGACATTAACAAGAAATAACTCATAAATATTTAATTTATGCTTAAATCACGTCATTTAGTATTTATTTAGAGATAAATAAAATGTTTTCTCTTTTGATTGTTTAAGATTTTATTGAGGAATGCATTAGAATTCAATGCAAGACTTCATTGATTTTCACAAACCATTAATATTTATGTGCTCTGAAAGCGTCCATAGATTGCACTTTATATTCAAATCGATATAACTTTGTCTCACATATAATGTAAGGAATGGACGGATCATAAGCTGAAATGGGATCCCGAAGAATATGGCGGAGTATCACAACTCTATGTTCCGTCAGAAGACATTTGGTTACCGGATATTGTGCTCTATAATAAGTAAGACATTTACAAACTCGTCAAAGTTTTTTATTATGTGATTCAATCATAATTTTCATATATGTTAAAGAAAATATTCAGAATATTCTTGATTAAAATTCAACAAAATGTTGATATAATTTGAATAAAATTCCGAATATTATATAAATATATAGTGAAGGCATTGAACACACAGTTAAGCATTAAATACCATAACTTAGTAATTGTAAGCCATGTGGACGTAACAAATCAATGCTCAGTAGAGCCAGTCTCGCATCTAATGATAAAATGTTTGCAAATGTATTGAAGTCTATGGACTGGGAATCCAAGGAATGCTCACAATTCCAGAGATTGTATTGAAATATAGGAAATTGTATTTGAGTTGTAATACAGAGACAAACGATTGCACCAAAGAGTCCATTGATTTTATATCAGCTCTTCTTTTATTCAATTCACTATTCATAG